CCCTCCTCTTCCTCTCTCGACTTTCCTTCCCCTCTCCCCCCAACCTCCCCTCCCTCTGTAGTTCTTCCTCGGCAATCAGGTACAGTTTGCCTTGCGATGCTGTCTCTCACCTCTGATTTTTTTATTATTATTATTATTTTTAATAACAAAAATAGCTTTGTGTGCCCGTGATGCTGCTCTGTCCCTCGTGGCTGTGGGAGGATGTGATCTGTGAGCGCTGCTCAGCAGAGCCTGGTACAGGGGAGTGCTTGAGCTCAGAGGAGACCCCCAAAACCCAAAAACTCTGCATTGGGTAGAAAAAAAGGGAAAATTCAATGGTAAAAGTAGGATTTGATACAAATGGAGAGATTTTTCTCTCTGTGACTCCTTTCTTGGATTCATGGCAGGGGTGATGGTGCCCAGTGAGGAGCAGTGAGATCCAAACAGGCTCGTGCCCAGGACTGTCCTTCAGGGGTCGGGCAGCCCGGGTGGCATCAGGGGGCAGCTCCCTGCATGAGGGCTGTACCAGGCTCTGCGTGGGCTGGGGTCGCAATCACCACGGAATGAGAATGCCAAGTCCACCCCTTTAATCCCATAGGTCATCACCACTAAACCCTCATCCCTGTTCCTGGGTAACTCCTCTAACAGGAGCACAGCTCCCCAGACCTGCATGTGCCCACCCCCGTCACTGCTGGGAGCCAGGACCCGCGTGCCAGTGCCGGGTCAGGGGGCAGAGCCCTTTTTCAGCTGGACTTGGAACATCACGTGCCCTTAGGATGTGCCCACACAAATAGAAAAGCCCAGTTTTCATGTGGAATGATGGTGCCCTGTCAAAAATAAACCCCAAAAGAAATATAAACTGGGATGCTGGGAGTGGGGGGATCCAGGAGGGCTCTGGCTTTTGTTTAGGCAGTGATTATAGAAATGTTTTCATAGAATTGTTGTGGTTGAAAGAGGCCTTTAAGATCATCGAGTCCAACTGTTAACAGTTCAACAGCAGTTGAATTCCAGAATCCCAGCATGGTAGGGTTGGAAGGGACCTCTGGAGATCATCTCATCCAACCCCTCTGCTCCAGCAGGGTGCCCAGGATGGCATCCAGGCAGGTTTGGAATCTCTCCAGAGGAGGAGACTCCACAAATTAAAAAAAACCCTGGAAAATAATGTCTGTGTGGCAGTGGAAATGAGAATTGTCTTATCCCTGGTTTCTCCTGGAGGAGGACTAATTCTTGAAGGACACCTTAGGTAGAGCCTGGAGAGAGGGAAGGGCACCATAGCCATGCCAAGCGTGGCTGCAGCAGCTCTTTCACCATTGTGCTGGGGCAAGCACATCTTGATGGGACCCCCAAGCAGGGAGACCCACCAGTACATGGGTCCCATATCCCTGAAGGCAGGAATGTTGGAGGAGCTGTTACCTCCTGCCCTTCCACCTGCCGTGCCCCATCTCAGTGTGGCTTTGCACTCTCCGTTTCCATTTAATCTCTCAGTTTTTGCATTCTTATCCATGCAGGGAAAATATTGCTGCTTTTATTTGTCCTTTTTTAAATGATTCTGAAGAGGGTCTTGCTTTCAAAGGCAGGTTCCCCTGTCTTCCCATCACAGCAGGTTCTCTGTAGACCTGCATCCAAGCCAGGCTCCCGATGTCCTGCCCGATGCCGAGGGCAACCAGGAGCCTGGGTTTGGCTCTCCAGGAGATTCAGGGAGCTTTGGAAAACAGACCCAACGCTTCTGATTCAGGGCACCCTTGTCTGATAATGCAGGTGGTTGAATCACTAATGAACATTGCAATCACTAATCACCTCTGCTGGGGGATTCCTGCCTGGAGCCCCCTCACTCCGCGCTCCCCGACGCATCCGCACTGGGCGATCTGGGCGGCGGGGGCTTTCCGGCTGCTCAGGGTCAAGTCTGAGGCTCAGTGCCATCCCTGGCCCTCAGACTTGATGAGCAGAGGTCTCTGGCTGGGCGGTGGCAGGGCTTCCCTTGCTGATCCAGCGGCGCTAGGGGAGCTGGATCAGCTGGCTCCTTTCCACATGGGCTGCACCGGGGGGGTCGTTGCATTGCCAACCTCTGATTTCCTTCACAATTAAAGGAAAAGCTACAATTCTGGCTGGGAAAACCTATCCAGAGACTAAATTCCAAAGTCTCATGTGCTGCTCTAAAAAAATTCCAGCTTTAAAACGAAAGGATTTGGGTAGTTGGGTCATTTTAAACCCACACAGCACAAAAATTCTGGTAAATCTGTACAAAGCCTGCGCTTACTCCAGAAGAACCTATCTGGAGAAACCTCAGAAGGATTCAACAGCTCAATAAAAGCGTCTGGTGCAGCCTGTGGTGGGAAGGAGCCAGGTGCCCCTTGTCGTGCCCCCATGGCTGACCTGTCCCTTGGCCCCACAGTTCGGCGACTCCCAGCAGCTGCGGCTGGTGCGGATCCTGCGGAGCACGGTCATGGTGCGGGTCGGAGGAGGCTGGATGGCCCTGGATGAATTCCTGGTGAAGAATGACCCTTGCAGAGGTAAAGCCATGGCTGGTGTTGCCGAGCTGGTCTCATCTTGAGAAGTGGTGTGATGTGGCTGTGAATGAGCAGATGGTACCCGAGCGGGGCTGGGTTGCCCAAGTAACAGGTGGGAGCTGGGGAAAACAGATCCAAAGCAAAGTATGGAGCTTAAAGCCTCAAAACTGGGTGATGCTGCCACAAATGTGTTTAGCCAGGTGTTGGGAGGAGGAGAGGGAAGGGTTTCTTCCTTGGTTTTAAGACCCCACCGAGTGGGAGCTCTCAGCTTCCCCTTGAAGCAGTTGGTGTGTACGTGAGGCTCTGTGAGTGATGGAGTAACCCTCATGGAGTGACCTGGAAGAATTCAGAAGGTTTAAAGCCAGGAGATGGTAAAATCCTGCTCTGAGACACTCTGGGGAGAACATGCTCTGGATCTGTGAACTGGTGGTGGTGCTGCACTGGCCTGTGGCCATGGGCCACTGATGGTCCAGGCTTGTTCTAGTCAGTAAGGAGCCATTTCTCCTTTGAACTGCTTGATTTCTCTCTGGTGCATTTCTAATACAAGTTTTCTGAGTTCATTTGTTGTCTTTAGTGCAGCAGCCTAAAGAACTAATTTGGAAACCCTGAGCTATGCAGGACCATGCACTTTAAAACCCTCTTTTCAGTGAGAGCTGCTGATGGTGCTGGGTCTTCTGCTAGTGCCTTAAAATTAACCTTTTCCCCCCAGGTCTGCCCATGAGGGTGCAAACGTGGCCTTTCTTCTTTTTTCTGTATTGCCACGTGCCACATTGGAGTTATAAAATGGGATTGTTGTCCATGGGGCTGGGTTGGATTTCTTTGGGTGACTTTGATCATGAATAAATGTCACCTTGCACAAGTGTCCCCTGGGGATTGACCAGCCTGGTGGTGAAATAAAAAAGATGTTTCAGTTCAGCATTAATACAGGAAAATTCAAGTGCAGGAAGCTCCTGGAGAAAAAAAAGAGCTTAAGGGAGAGACAGCAGCACATTAGAAGGGAAGAACCACCTAGAGCTTGGGTCTTGCTGGAGGTCGTTGTTGGGACACATTTGGTTGGGATAATGCAGACCAGGGTCTCTGTGAGCACCAAGAACCAGGGTCAGATCCTTTCCAAAACCTCCAGTCCTGAGGTTTTATCATGGTCAGAGCTGCTGGGCTGGAAGCAACTCTGCTGCAACCGGCCGAGAGCCACGACCAGGGGACAGGGGAGGATTAGCGAGGGGGCTGCAGAGCTCAGAGAGCTTAGGTCTGTGTCCCATATGTCCACGTCTCACTGGGGTCTCTGGGATGTTAATTGCTTCAGCCATGTCTTCTCCAAGCTGCTGCCCAGCCGTTCCCTGCTCCTGCTGCCCGGCGGCGGGTGCTGAAAGCAGCAGGATTTCCAGCACGTGCCGCTCGCCGCGGGACCCGTCGGGGTTTTCCTGCTCCTCCCACCCCCCCCGTTCACACTTCCCAGCAGATGTTTGACATCGAGGTTATTTCCATCCCTGGGTTCTCTCAGCGTGGTGCTTCCCTTCTGCAATTACTTTCTTGACTTTCTGATCCTTAAGGCACCAGCTCTCAGATTCTCCCGTGTCCCGTGGGGCTGGGTGGTGCCCCTGCTCTCTGTGCCAGCACCCTGAGCATCAAACCCTTGGCCCATGCCTGCTGGCCCAGGGGCTGACATCTGCTGACCTCCCTGCTTGGTTGCCCTGTGCTTCTCAAAGGGAGACCCTCCAGCTCTTTGTGGGGGGGGTGGATGGTAATTTTAATGTTGGGTTTGGATGGGTGGTGGTCACTTCTCTCTCACCTCTCCCCAGAAATGGGTGAAAGGCCACCCAGAGCTGAGAGAGCAGAATCACAACCCTTAAAGCTGCTCCCCTTATTTTTAAGCCACCTAAAAGATGATGTTGGGCACTGCTGTAACATGGTGTGTTTAAAGGCCATCAGGATGCTTTCTCCAAGACAGGAAAGAGTATTAGAGCATCCAGGGTGAATTCATGGGCCTTTTAATCAGCCAGTTTTTCAAAGAGCTCATCCATGGCAGGAGGTGGTTAAGGCAAGAGAGGTTGGGACAGTCTCTCTGCCATCCACTCGTGCTCGGGGGTGTGCTCGGGGAGACACTGCAAGGACCCAAACCCCGACCCCAGGAGCCTCCTGAGCCCTGGTGACGGTGTGGAGTTCAGGTCTCCTCTCCTTCATCCCCTTCCAGCACGAGGACGGACCAACCTTGAGCTCCGGGAGAAGTTCATCTTGCCAGAGGGAGCCTCCCAGGGGATGACGCCGTTCCGCTCGCGAGGCCGAAGGTCCAAACCATCCTCCCGAGCGGCCTCCCCGACCCGCTCCAGCTCCAGTGCCAGCCAGAGCAACCACAGCTGCGCCTCCATGCCGTCCTCCCCCGCCACCCCTGCCAGCGGAGCCAAGGTGGGCTGCACACGTGGTGCCTCCTTCTTTCCTCTCCTCCAAACCCGTCCCGCTGAGAGGAGGAGCTGTGGGTGTATGGAGGAGGAGGAGGAGGAAGGCTGGGGCTTGAGGCCTTGCTGGTTGCTGTGTTCTCTAGATGTTCGTGGTGCCTGCAGGAAGAACCCTGCTGTCCACGTGGGATGGGTGGGGTGGGGTGGTGCAGGACAGGTTTTCAGCCCTAGCTGGGTGCTCGTGGCTCCAGAGGAGGGTCCCTGGTGCTCAGCGTGCAGCCGAAGGCTCCTGGTCCCTCAGACATGTCCAGCCAGCACTCAGGAAGAAGCCATCACCCATCGTCTCTCCCACCTCATTGTTCACCCATACATGTTTTATTTCATCATCTGTTTGGGTTTTTCCCTTTTATTTTAATTTATATATTTCCTGTTCAGTTCTCATTTTGTTTTTAGTGCCGTTTTCCCCCCGTTCCAGATACTTTTCCATTTCTTTTCTTTTTCCTTTTTTTTTTTCACTCACTTCCACCTCTCCCCCCCTTCCTTGGCTTTTCCATTCCACAGACTCCACATCACTTCTCTCGATGTTATGACAAACCCTGGTTGATAAACAGTAAAGCGGGCACCCCCCTGAGGGGATTCGATTATTCCGACTTCCAGCTCTCGAGCGCCGAGGTAGAGTATGGTCTGGCAGCCCCCAGGACCTGCCGCCAGGCCCCAGGAGAAGTCCTGCTCCCCTGCCTGTTTTAATGCTTCCCTCGTGGTAGAGCAGCTTGTCAGCACCGCTAACGCTCCCACTGTTGGCGTTTTTCATGGGTTTCTAACTCGGATTCTTCCACCTTCAAACACGACAGCTGGCGATTCGCATTCACCCGAGAGCACGACATTGACCCTCTGGTGCTTTACAAAAAGAAAACCTCTCTATTTTCCAAGCTTGGATAAGCTTTCCAGCATCGAGGAACGGCCGCCTTTTGGCTTGCAAAATCCAGCAGCCGAGTTGAGACTTGAAAATCAGCTACAGCGCATGCCCAGTAACCTCACCACCCCCCGCTGGAGCAGGCGCTGGTATTTCTCACCCTGGCCGGCACTGGCACCGCCGGGATGCTCCCAGGAGGATGAATTTCGGGCTGAGACTTCCCTCTCCCCTAAATTTTCAGCCTCCTCGTGGGCTTCCCTGACGTTGTGACTCGGGGATGAGAAATACCCGGGGCGCTCTCGGTGCTTCACTGAGGGGTGCTGTGCCACGGCAAGATGCCCGCGTCTTGCTCGGCGGTGCTTGCACGCAGGGAGGGAATGATTTTAAATCTTCCTCAGGTCAGGAGCACTGCCCCAGTTGCCCTAAATTGCCTGCTTGCTGCCCTGAACGTGTTTATAAAATAGGGTCGAGGATGAGACTCGAAATCTCTGCTGATGGAAACGGCTCCTTCGCAATCACGTCTGAATGGATTTTAATCCTCGGGGCGCCCGCTGCTCAGCTGCCCCTCTCCCACCACCCCCTCCCCACTGCAGCTCCAGTTTCTGGTCATTTCAAGATTTCTAGGGGCCCAAAAATATCACAAGGGATGGAGGGAAAAGTCTCCAGCTGTTGCTTTAAAGCCCATTGGGAAATGCCCTGTGGTGTTAAAGTATGTTTATATGGGGGTGCCCCGGGGCTGGAGCCGTCCCTGCAGCGATGCCTCCCCAGGCCCCAGGGTTTCCTGCAGCACTGCCCCCAAATCCAGAGCTTTGGCTGGGATGCAGAAACTGGAGCTGCCCTTTCCAGCTGGATCCAGGTGCCAGCACCTTCCCCTTTGCCCCTTGGCTTTCTTCCCCAGCAGCAGGAGCAGAGCTGCCTGTTGTGCTGCTTTCCCCCCGACGCCGTCTGCCTTTACAACATCTTAAAGGTCAGGAAAAGCACCATTTCAGGATGCCACCAAAGCTGCCTCGCTGTGGTTTGTGTCCCTCTTGGTCACCAGTGCCTCACTCTCCAAATTTATCTGCCCTTGGGTGTGTGGACCTGCCCAGGGCAGCAGCACCAGGACCGTGTCCTTCCACCTCCACCTGGCAGAATCACGCTGTGCTGGTGCCTCCCTGCAGGAGAAGGTGTTTCCCAAGATGTTATATTTGACCTTCCAAAATGGTTCTGAGCTGCTGAGCTGCTAAAATCCCTATTTTTGCAAGATTTCATGTTCTCTTCATGGAGCTTTTGAGCCCAGACAACGCTCTCCTCCTCCAGATGGACAGCAGCTTTGCTTTCATTTTTTTTCCAACAAATAGTTGTGCCTCAGCCTGCCGCACACAAACTGCCCGTGCCCTCCACCTTTTCAGGCTATTTTATTACCCACTTCTGAAACAACGGCTCATTTTCCTTGACCTTTAAGATGAGTGTTCCTTAAATGTCCACATCTTGCCATGGTCCTGATCTCGGCTGTGATCTCGGCCCGTCCTGGCCGAGGTGACAGCTCAGAGATGCTCTGTGTGTGCTTCCTCCAAGGTGACCCCCTCGGCGGGCAGCAAGCTGAAGCGACCCCCCTTCCACTCCAGCCGAACCTCCTTGGCTGGGGACACCAGTAACAGCTCCTCACCAGTCTCTACAGGTGCCAAAACCAGTCGGGCAGGTAAGCTGGGTGCAAAGAGCAAAAAAACTCCTG